TAATTTAATACAGAAACTAAATTTTAATAATCTATGTAAATTAATATATTAATAAAAAGTTTATTAAAATAATTATAGCATAATTAATTTGATTCATTTAAAATTTAATTTTATTATCTGATTCAGTATATTTTATGTTAATATGTTCTTATATAAATTAAATCATAATTAATTAATTCAACTTATTTCGAATTATTTCGAATTATTTAAAATATTTCAAACTCAATTTTTTTCGAATTAATTAAAATTTAATTAGATAAAATAAAATTTATACGATTATATTATATTAAATGCGATATAAGTATTTATTAAATGAATTAAAAAAAAACTAAACCATATAGAAACATTATATAAACGTATTATTTGAAATATTTATTATGTGCCCCAGCTCCACACACAACTGTTATAACCAACCAATATTTAAAGTTACATCCATCTAATATTTTATAGTTAAATTAAAATATTTAAAATTTTAAGATTCTTGTTCATCATTGTTATTATTGTTATCATTGTTATCATTGTTATTATCATTATCATCGTTAGAAGGTGTAGTTTGTTGCGGATTAGATGTGGTTGAGGTCCTTTCTTTCGGATCAGTTTGGCTTTTATTGGGATTAGTTTGGTTATCTTTTGGAGTTGCAAAAGAATATGATCTATGAGAGGTATTACGGATTGATGTAGGTGTTTGTGCAGAAGCAGAAGTTTTACTCTTTTTATGTAAGCTAGAAGGTGCTTTTGCTCTAATTCTTTTTCTACCCTTTTTAGTTTTATGGGCCACAACTTCAGCTGGGTCATCTTCTGGCATAGTATCTTTATCGTCAGTGATTGGCGAGAGAAATGCAGTACCTTCTTCTAACTTATCCTTATTAAAGAAATATACAAAAATTAAATAGAGTAAATGAATTTAGAGTTAGTGTTGTATTAGTGTTAGTGTTAGTGTTATAGTTAATGTTATTGTTTGGATTAGAGTTAGGGTTAGGTAACAAAAAAATTAATAAATTAACTTACTAAATTTCTATTTATTCTAAATATTACAACATCATCCTCCATATTAAATTTTTTATAAAAAGAATTAAGCATTATCTGGCATATAGTTATCGTATATGCTATTTGCATATTTGTGGGAGTTATATTAGACCAAGCATTCGAAAGTATTCGGGAGAAGTAGGTATCATCAGGATTAGAGGCATTGATTGAAGTAAATAATTTTTTATAACATTAATATGTCTTATCCGAATCCTTCCAATCTGAAATTACTCTAGGCATAGAATTTGATTTTATTCTATCTAATTGGGCGTGTCCAAATACAGAAAAAACAGAATCTTTAATTTTAGTCGCAATCCTGCTATGACATAAGTGATGAGCAGCTAGAAGCTAATACAAAATAAATTAATTTGAAATTAAAAATATTAATGCGAATTAGTTCAAAATAACTTAAAAAATAAAGAATTAGAAAATAAATAAAAAATAAAAATAAATTAAATTTAAAATAAGACTAGATTGACTCAAATTCAACTAAATTGCATTAAGCAGACTAGATGTGAATCATTTCGAATAAATTAAAAAATTTACAGGACTAGCCAGAAATTCTTCATAATATATATTCTAATCTTTATTTTTCATACTTTCATAAAAAGTACGCTCGAATTCTACAAGGTATTTCTCCGCAGCTACTTTTAATTCATCTAAGGTTGGATAAATATTTGTAACAATTAATCTTTTGGCTATTGCTAAACTTGTTTACTAAAAGTAAAATTTTATTAGATTAAATTAAAATAAATAAAACATTAATATTAAAAAATAATTACTTTAATGAAGCTTTCTTTATTTTTTAGTCTAAGTCCTTCCAACACTCGTCGATCTAAATCTGAAACTTTTCGATTTAATTTTGCAATTTCTTCAGTTAAATTGAGGAGCACATTATTAATAGAAGCCAAGATAACTTGATCTTAAATTATTTTAATATGTAATATAGATTAATAAAATAAAAAAAAAAAAAAAAACAAATTATATTTTTTAAAATTAACCATCGGAAGGTATAGAAGATTGTTGCAAAACAGTTTCAACTGGATTGATATATTGTGGAGTTGTCCTCTGAGTAACAGAGGTAGATGCTTGTAGACCAGGGAACTTTCTAGCAAACAGTGCACGCCTGTTGGCGTCACGAGTTGAATAAAATTTAGCTTTAGATTTATTTTGGGCCATTTGTATAAGTAATAATATAATTAAAAATAAAA